GCCCGGCCCCACGGCCGGCCGGCTCCCCCGGAAGCGGCGAGGCACCAGACCGCGGCCCCTCCTCCACCCCCCGCTCCCGAGTCTTGACCCGAGAAGGCGCTCGGGCCAGTCCGGCGGGGGAGGTGCGGGCAGGGCGCAGCCTGGGCTCACTGCAGCCCGGCTTCCCCGTCCACTCCGGGCTGGGAGTCGCCTGCTTCTTCCGTGCGCCCTCCCCGCTGCGAGCCGGAGTCTCCGGCCATGGAGGGGGGCCTTCCGTGCCTGCAAGTAGGTTCGTAGGCGTCCACGGAGCTCGCTACTCACTGGGCAGAAACTTGGAGATGAGCCTTTTCTCCTGAGTTCCCTGAAATCCACCACGAAAACCTGGAGCCTCGGTTTCGTTCTACGTCTAGAAGGAACGAAGCCTTCATTCCATTCATTGAATCCTCTTAACACCATGCAAGGAAAGCGTTTATACGTTTTTTTCTTTTTATACAATTGAGAAAAATGACGCTTGGAGATTGAACGACTTTTCCAAACGCCACACACAGCAAGTGGCAATGTGAGTCTCTATGCAGGAGAAGCAGGCTCTGTGTGGCAGCTGTGAAGTCAGGCCACCAGGGACAAGAGCACCTGGCATGCTCCACTGAAGCTGCTGCTGGCGTCCCCAAAGGGCATACCTGAGCACTGTTCTGCAGGGTGCTAACAGAGCTGCTGCAAAATGTGATGGGCAAAATGTTGGCGAGTCCTGGGTTAAACAAAGTGAAGGGATTTCTTTGCCTCTCCACTTCTTAATGCTTCTGAGATGTTGATGAGGATTGTGAACCACCGAGGGGAGGATATAATGTACCATTTCCCAAACTTGCTTTACTGTAGAAATGTCAGTGTCTTCCTGAGCAGTGTTCCTTGGCAGGCGGGTTTGGGAGACACTCCTACAGCTATACACATGAATGCTGGAGGGTAGAAGTAGTTTAATAGAGCCGATCTAAGATTCATGATCTCCCTTTCAATCTGATTTCCGACTTTTCTTACCAGCCAGACAAAGCGAATTACTGGCTAATCCTGGGAGGCAGTGTGGTGTAAGCCTCTACACAAGGGCTCTGGAGTCACATCGCCTGGTTCACATCCAGGGCTCACCACCTACTGGCCGTGTGACCTTGGGGAAGTGGGTGACCTGTCTAGGTTCACTTTCCCCATCAAAATTATGGTATCTGGTTCCTAGCATTGTGATAAGGAGTAGATGAGATAAAGTCCATCGGACACCTGCCCAGGGCCCAGTGCTCAGGAGGGGTTTTTACTCTTTATCAGGTACGCCTCTGCTTCCCTGTTCTGTGCCTGTGCTCTGCTGTTCCCTCCACCCACAGGGCCCCCTTTTCCCAACTCTGCTCTTCAAAATGACCCTCTTCTGGCAAGGATCACCCCTCTTCTGGCAAGGGTTGTTTTTGCAGCTTATGCAGAAAAACCTCTTTTCGTTTCTTTTTTCACTTGAGGAAGGGTCGCCCTGAGCTAACATCTGTTGCCAGTCTTCCTCTATTTTGTATGTGGGTCGCCACCACAGCATGGCTGCCTACCGGTGGTGTATGTCCACGCCTGGGAACCAAACCCAGGCCGCCCAAGCGGAGCATGCCGAACTTAACCACCAGGCCACAGGGCTGGTCCCAAGTAAAATCTTTTTTAATCCTGCCCTTCCCACCTCCTTCCCTGAAATCCTCTCAGTACCTGTGTTATCTGGAGCTTGTGTGGGAGGCTTAGCCTCCTCATTAGACTGACAATTCCCTGAGGCCCCCTCGAGGAGAAGAGGCACTCAGGTGAACACAGAGAGCTAGGTAGAGCACAAGCACTGTGATGGCTTGGTCCTTGTCCCTCACAATTTAATGGGAAAGATGTAGATGCAAGGATAAGTGTTCTCCTGTAAGTCTGAATAAAGCTCTGTGGGAGTACAGAGGGTTTATTAATGCCTTCTTAATAAGTAGAGCATTTGTTATCTGAAGGAAGTAACTTCTGGGTGAGGAGCCAGATGAAAGCCTTTCTCCTCTGACCCGTAGATAGGGATGTCTGTACCGAAGGAAGGCTGAGTGAATATTGGGCCCCAAAGGAGGCTACCCCACAGGGTTAACGCAGATGTTGGGTTTGCCTGACCCGTCCCTACCTCCCTGCCCCTGGCAAGTTCCTTCCTGTCTTTCAGCACCAGTCCGCATTCTGGTGGCTCTTCCTCTTCTGCTCTCCTAATTAGTCCTGGCTCCCCCAATCCCCCACAGGCTTCTAATGTCACCTCACTGGCAGCACATCTGCCCTCTCCTCCCTCCCTCAGCTGATAATCAGAGGCCCACCTCCATCTTTTATGTTTCATTCTTCTCCCCAAAGGCCACTTTTGAGGGGGAGTGGGCATTTTACTGGCTGTCTCGACTCTCATTCACTTCTCCCTTCTGAAGAACTGTCCACACTTCAAACCCCACTGAGGTACATTTCTTCCTGGAACCGCCCTCCCTGAGGTCCCTACTGACCTACTTGGTACTGAATCTGGCCCCAGCATGTGCATTTATACACTGACCATTCCTCCTAGGCTCCTGCAACACCTCCCTCTCCTGGCTTTTCTCCTGCCCTCTGGCCACCTCTTCAGCATCTTCTTCTCTGGTTCATCCTGTAAATGTCAGTGGAGTCCCTCCAGTTTCCCCCCACTCCCCCATTGTTCCACCCTCCCGAGGTGATGCCATCCTCTTCCATGATGGCCACGTCTCTACCTACACCCAGATCGTCCTGAGTGCCACAACAATAAATTCTATGCCCTATCAGACATCTCTCCCCAGTGTCCTACAGGCACCCTTAACTCAACATGTCTCAAATGTACCACTCATTTTGTCCCTCACACTGTTCCTCATTTCTGTGAAAGGCACGACATTGATCCAGTTGTCCAAGCCAGAAACCTGGGAGTCTTACTTGACCCCATTTCTTGTTGCTACTGTTGCCTCCTGGATCCATACGCTTCTTGCCATGACAGTGCATGCTTTGTTGACTCTGCCATGGGGACTTGAGTGACAGCCTCCCATCTGGCCTCCTGCTTTGATGTCATAATCTGTCCTCCACAAGGCAGGCAGGGTGATTTTTCTAAAAGGAAAATCTGATCATGTAGCTTCCCTATTGAAAACCCTTCAGCAGCCCCCTGCCCAGAGAATAAAATCCAAGCTCCACCACATGGCTCCTTGGCCCCCGACCCACGGTACTTCTTATCATCCCTCGTCTTTCACTCCATGATCTAACTAGGACAAATCACTTACAGTCCTTTGAAACTTGCTAATTCTTGGTCTTGGGCCTTTGTATATGGTTTTCTCTCAGCTTGGAATCACCCCCCCTTCTGCTCTCCTCCCCATGCCCTCCCGCATTCCCTTTGTTACACTGCTCATCCTTCAGGTTCAGCTCAGAGGTCAACTTCCCTGGGAAGCTTCATGGAGAAACAGCCAGCTGGGATGAGGTGTCCATGCCCTGTGCTTACCCCTAGCACTGCAGGGACTGCACTGCATCTCACCTAGGGGTGAGGGGCCGGGCAGAGATAAGAACACTCCCGGGAGGACATATACTATGCTTTACGTGCTGATGTATCTCTAATATGTAGCGCTGGGCCTGACCAAGAGTTGGAGCTGAACGAATATTGAATAGATGAATGAACACATTCCTTCCCTCTACAACCAAAGCCCTGCAGGAACTTGGGAAAAAGAGGCACTAGCTTGCACACAAGATACCTAACACCTAGGATTTAAGACCACTCCTGGGAGGAAGAGGCTGTGCTCCTCCCAGCCTGGGATCAAAGGCTAGTGGGGTGCTTCTAAGCAACTGCCGTGAGGTGACAAGAGGAAGGGACAGAAGACTGGAAGGAAGGAGTTAATCATATTTATTGATTGATGAACAAGGTAAACAGACATGTCAGTAAATCTGGGCCAGGCTGCCTGGGCTCTGCTAGGGTCTGCCAAGAGGGGCAGAGGCAATCTTCCTGGGTCAGTACCAGGAAGGAGCCAGTCTTGGACCGTGGTCCTCAGGACCCCTGAGGTGTTCTGTCCAGCTGGAGTACCGTGGTGTGTGGCATCAGTCTGGGCCAGGGATCAGTCCTAGGGTCCCACGCCATCATTCCCTGTCGGCCTGGCCTCTGGCACAGAACCTCAGAGCCTGCAGTCTGCCTGCCTGCCCAGCCATATGGGGGCAGAGTGACCTGGATGAGAGCAGAAGAGGGTAGAGGAGACCCTGGCATGGTGCTGGGGAGGACTCAAGCAGTGAGGATGTGACCACGGGCCAGAATTAGAGCCAAGGGTGACAGACGGGGTACTGGGGATGCAGTGAAGAGCTTACAGGCTCAGATGATATTGCGCTCCTCGACCTTCTCTCCCAAGTAAAACCGGCTGAAGAGGAAGGGGCTCAGGTTGATGGTCTGGAAGTGGCCCTCCAGCACCATCTCCGCCACAGCTCGCCCCACGGCAGGGGCCTGCTGGAGCCCATGGCCACTGAAGCCGGTAGCAAAGTACATGTTGACGACTAGTGGGTGGGGGCCCACCACGCCATTCTGGTCAAAGGTGTTGTAGTCGTAATAGCCAGCCCAAGCACTCCGAACCTGCAGGTGCACAAGACGCAGGGGTTCTCCGGAAGGCTGCCAACGTATTCCACCCTCACTCCTGGTCAGGGGTCAGCACACAGTACCCTCTACCACTGCTGAGGGGGTCGATGGGATGGGTCCTTAGACCAATAGGGTCTTTAGCAGTTGTGAGGTGGAGGGAGTGAGGCAGTGGACAGGCATTCCGAGGGGACCAAGATGCTCCAGTGTCATCTGTCTTCTAGTTACCTTCAGACTCTCGAAAGCTGGTACCCTCTGGGCCAAATGGGGCCACACCTTGTCCTGGAAGAAATCATGGTCCACTTCCAGGTTCCCTGGGTCTGGTTCCTCCTCCTGGGGTGAAAGGTGGGGACAGGCTTATATTGCCTGGGACACAAGGGCAGACCTAGACCTCACTGACAGCTTTAATCAATCCCCTCGGCAGGTGGGGGATGGGGAGAAGAGACCCCAATTCAAACAGTAACACCAGTAACAGCACTGGGCCCTCCAAAACAGCCTGACTCTGTAAAGACAATTGGTCTGTCTCCTTCCCAGCCTCCAGCCCCCAGCTGCCACTCAGCTTACCTCAGTGGGGCTACAGCCACCCAGGTAGTTGTTGCCTAGTCCTTCCCGGCGGAAATAGGTTCCGCTGGTGTCTGTAACGAATGGAGTCTCCAGGCCTGGTCCCTGGGGGCAGTGCCACAAGTACACATACCTGCCATAACCAGCGGGTTAGGAAGGGGCGGGGATAGCAACCCCCAACCCTCGCACACACACTTAACTAACTTTTATATGTTTCTTTCTTTCTCTCTCCAACCTCAGCTGCCCTGGGGGAAGTCACCTTTTCCTTGGCTCCACAGGTAGCTTGGTGCCCTGCAGGGTGCCAGGCGGTCCCTTCCCGATACCAGCCAGCTCTGCGATTTGCCCAGACCAGGCCCCTGCTGCGTTGATCACTATGGCACATTCCACAGGCTGGTACTCCAGGCTGCGGTCCATCTTCACCTGTGGGCACCAGAGGGGGAGGAGAGGGAGGGCCTGGCCCACATACTGGGCACCATGAGATGTACATTCTTCTTGAGCCTTAGTTTACCCATACTGAAAGTGGGTAGAAGATGATCAAAATGACAGTCATTACCTTTCTTGTCCCTCCACTTTGGTAAGGAAGATATGTAGGCTAGGAACTTACATGGACTTCATGGATCCTTTTCAAAGTCACCTCTTCCCCACTTGCAGTCTCCATGCGGTCAGATGAAGAGATGAAACCTGTAGAAAAAGAAAAGAAAATAAGCCCTTGAGGCCTTGAAGAGGAAGAAGGGGATTCCACTGGTTTCATAAGGAAAGAAAGCTGGAAGGCTGGGAGCTTTCCCACAGACACTGAAGAAAATAGATAGGGTAACCGGGATGAACTTGGCCGTACTCAGGACAAGAGAGTGCTGAAATCTTCAGGCAGATCATGAGTCACAAAGAAGCCTAGTTAGGAGCTGGAGTCAGGATGCCCAGGACCAGACCTCAGGGGAGAACCTCCTTCTCCCACCGACTCTTGCTTAGCCTGTGACTGAAGTAAGACTCACTCTTACCTGCAATGGTAGAGTGAAAGTCTGGCAGAGGAAACAAGAGTGGGCATGGGGCCTCAGACTCACGTGTCACCTCTCCATGGCAGAAACGGACGCCCATGGACTGGACCTTTCGCCGAAGCCCCTGGAGCAGACACCAGGGGTCAAACCAGCCTTCGTTCTCCAGCCCTGTGATGAGAAAAAGAGAACTCGTGAAGAGGGACTAGGACCTTCCTCTCCTGTTGTATTTCCTACACCCCCAACTCTTCCTTAGGGCTTCTAAGCCGGGGTAAGTCATGCTGACGAACTACACCAGAGTCAAATCCTGCAGGAGGACAGAGAGCTGGCATGGCCCGGAAGAGGCCCTGCTGGCCAGGAGGGAAGCATCGCTCCTTGACTTGGCTATGGGGCACTGAGACCTCCAACCGGAGGCGCCCCTCAACCCTGGATCCCCTGTGCAAGCGAGCCTCACCATAAGACGCCAAAGCCACTCCCTCTGTGTTTATCCAGGGAAACTTGTTCCGAAGCTGCTCAGGAGACATCAGACAAACTTTGGCTCCTTCCTGCCTGAGAGAAATGTATGGGTCTGTGTATGTGTGTTAGAGAGGCGGGGTGTGCAGAGAGGGAGAAGTACAGACCCCAACTCCACAAGTGGGGATTCACCTCATTCGTGTCACTTCTCTGTCCAAACTCCCAAGTGTTCCTCCTTGCTGAGTGGGTGAAGACCAAGCCTCCTATTCAAGGCCCTTCAGCATCTGACCCCTCTCTCTCTGCCTAAACCTAGTCTCCCTGTGGCCACTAAACTCCTTGTCATCCCCTAACTATTCCATGTCCTTTCACAACAGCACGGTCACTTTGTTCCTTCCACTCCTTCTGCCTGGAACGGCCTTCCTGTCCACCTTCGAGTACAATCCTGTTCACTAGCACAACTATCTCCTCCGGGACTCTGTCCCAAAAAGGCAGCAACATAGGTGCTAAAAGAAGATACTCGTGAGCCAGACTGTCTGGTTCGAATCCCAGCACCACCACTTACTAGCGCCTCGTCTCAGTTTCCCCACATGTACAATGGGGATGTTCTGATGATTAAATGAGTTAATATTTGTCATGCACTTAGGACATTACCTGATGTCACTAGTGAGACTCACAGAAGAGTTTGTTGAAATGCCCACTCTTGGCTGATCGTGAGAATCACTTAGGGTGGGGTTGCCAAATCCCGCCGGCTGCCTGTTTTTATACATGAGCCACACTCTTTCGTTTATATTTTTGTCTATGGCTGCTTTTGCGCTTCAACTGCAAAGTTGAGTGACTGCAAAAGAAGACTGTACGGCCCACAAAGCCTGAAATGTTTACTATCTGGCCCTTACAGAAAAAGTCTGCAGATTCCCAGGCCCCTCTCTAAAGATTCTGGTTTATTGGGTTTGGGATGTCCTTGGTGGTTCTTATGATCTGGCAAATTTAGGAACCACCGCAGCAGCTCTGTCCACATCTGTATTACAGCACTTAGCAGGGGTACTGGAGGCCTGCGTGTGTGTCTGTCCTGAGAGACTGAGGTCCTAGAGAGGAGGGACCTGTCTTATCAACTCCATCACCCAGTTCCTAACTTGGTGTAGGAGCTTATTGCATGCATGTGGCTGAGAAGCAGCTCAGAGGTCGTGCTGGGCACCCACCTCTGCACTTTCACATTGTTCTCCATGATCGCAGCACCCTTTTCTGAAGCCAGCAAAAGATAACCTAAGGGGTTGAACTGGAGGTCCAGGGGAGGGTCATCGACTACAGCCAGGTACTCCTGTGTGCAAAGGAAAGCTCCTCAAAGAAGGTGATTTAAAGAAGGGAGGGAGAGCTCTCTTGGCTTCCTCACCAACAGCTCCTGGGCTCAGTGCCCCAACTCAGAGAGAAGCCCTCTTCTAGGCACCGCCACTGGGAAGAAAACCAGGGGTTCTGACTCCTAGCCGCCCAAACTGCTCCTGCTCCCTGTCTCCCCTAGCCAGCTGGGCTGCTCCTCTCTCTGAGCTAAAAGAGGGGTTACCACCCCAACCCCCAAATCTCATTGCACATACATTGATATTCCGTAGAAAGTCAACTGAAAAGAGGGAGAGCTGGATATTCTCAGGCAACGAGAACTGCTGACGAATCCCACCCACAGAAAGCACGGTGGAGGCATGGGAATACTGCGGAGAGACAAGAGAAGTTACGGTAGACCAGTACCCTGTCACACGTGAGCAGAATACTGTAATGGAAGCTGTGAGTCATACACCTTAAGTTAAAGGAGAGTCCTACTTGCAAGCTTATAATCTAAGAACAGTTGAGGTGGATAAACCCACATGCAAGTCAACCAGCAGCACAAAGAGGACAAAATCCTTACTAGCAGATGTGTAGAGCAAAGACGGTCAGTCACCTAAAAGGGGCTGGGCAGTGATATACAAATTGGTCATGGCCTGAAAGTCCAAGGGCAGGAGATTAACATTTGATCTACTAATTGGAAAATAGAGGGATATGACCAAAGTAGCAAGATTCGTGGCTAGCTGGCTGTGATAAATAGGAACAACTAAAGTGCAAAAACCTTAGAAGAAGAAATGGAACCTAAAGGGGGCTGAGATAGCTGTTTGTGTTAATTATAGCTTGAATGCAGGGTTTCTTGGCCAGACCTGTCAGATCTCAAAAAATCCAACGTGAAATTTGCTTTCAAAAGCAAAAATTTTGGGGACTGCCCAAGGTCCCTAGTTTGAGGGAGGAAGAACCTGGGACTATTTCTCAACAAGGCCCAAAGTACAGTCCCTGCCCTTCAGACCTCTATAGATTGAGGTCTTTCCCTTCCTCCCCTTCCCTTGACCCTACAGTCCTTAGTAAAATATGAGTCCATGCCCTGCTCATGACTCCGCCCTACCCCAGACCTCACCGTGTAGTCCCGGTCCACCACCAGCACCTGAATGGCACCTCGTCGCTTCTCCAACCTCTTCAGCCAATAGGCCACGGACAGGCCGAGCACCCCACCCCCAACAATCACCACATCTGAGTGTTCAGGGGGCAGGTGGCTGGTGTCATACAATGGATTCCAGGCCCCTCCAGGAAGGACTGACTGGATCTTCTTCTTAATGTCGGACACCTTTCCATCCCAGTCTGTGGGATGCAGTTGTGGTCAGAGGGCCACACATTTCATTTCCAGGTGGTGGGGGGTTAGAGGATGGGCACAAGAAAAGGTGGGCAAAATGGACACTGAGTTGGCAGTCCCCAGTGCCATCCCTTCTCATAAGGTCAACTTACACCCAGCAGTATTCCACAACTTCGCTATATGGTCTATATGCCATCAGTGTCTCTTGCTTTCCATGCATCATGCCCAGCACTGCAACGTTCAACTTCCTAAAATTTATACTCTCTCCCTAGGCTAGGTGACTTACACATATTTATCTCCTGCACAGAGCTCCCTCTCCCCTGAGGCCTGGGCTCATATATTCAACTGCACTGTCATCTCCACTTGGATGTCCCAGGCTCCTGGACCAAGAGGTCCTGGCATACCCTGAGCTGCAGCACCCTCTGAAACATGGTACCTCTGAGTGGCACCTTATCCCAGATATCCGTCACCACCAGCAAGCCTACATTCATGTCCTATCTATTATCAAGTCCTGATGACTTTACCTCTTAAATATCTCCTCAATCTGTCCCCTTTTTTCCATCTCTGCCACCACCACCCTAGACCAAAACACCATAATCTCTTACCTAGACTAATGCAAAAGCCTCCTAACTGTTCCCACTAATTCCCCTCCTTCCACGCCCCCCAACTTCTTTTTTACAGCATAGCTAGAATAATCTTTTCTAAACACTAATTTAATCAATACTCTTGCTTAAAACCCTCCAACTGCTTTTGATTACTGTAAAGATAAAAGTCCAAAGTCTGTAAAGTGGCCCATGAGGCACTGCGCTATCTGGCTCCTGTTCACCTTGTCCTCCCTACCCCCCACTCCAGCCCCTTCTGTTCCTTGATGGCACCTTATTTCCTCCTGCCACAGGGAATCTACAGAGGTGTTCTCTCTGCTTTGAAACTCTGTGTCCACTTCTTTGTCTAGTAAACTCCTTGCTTCCTTTAGCTCTCCACTCGGTTATCATTTTTTCAGGGAAGACTTTCCTGAACCCCTAGACCATGTCAAATTTTCCTGTCACATTAGCTCATAGCTCTGTGAACCCGTTTTGCAATATGCAACATATATGCAACTCTGAGTTTGTCTGAGATTGCTTCATAAGTGTACTAGGTCTCCCTTCTTCACCACTGAAGCCTAGCACAGTACTTGGTACATCCTAAGTGCTCAGTGTCTTGAATAAATGAATGCTTTTGTCTTTCACACCTAACTCACAAATCTCCAAGTCTTCTGTCTCCAATACAAAGTTCAAACTCTTCTCAGCAGCATTCGGAGCTTTCTTTGATCTGGGCTTACCTCACTTGTCCACACTACATTTCATACTCCTCCTCAAACTCTCTATCTAGCTGGCTTTTGCTAGTTCCTTGCACAAGAACAATATTCTTCTCCTCCTAACCTCTGCTCAATTCTCCAGAACCTGGAACACACACCTTCCTTGAGCTTTACAGCCTTCAAGGCTGATCTCAGTTCTCACCTGCTCTATGTACTTCTACAATTACACTAGTTTCGGGGACTAGCAGTGCAGGGCATTCTCCAGGTTGGGTTCTCTCCAGTCTTGAACTGGTCTACTGAAGTCTTCCCTCTCCACCTACACTTTAAGACATGTCCACTTCCAGGATATATATTGAATCTTCTCTCTTCTTCCCTCCTTCATGGCCACAGCACTAAGCACAGCATCCTGCACGCGAGCAGGACTTAATGCACATCTGTGCGACCAATGAATAAGCTTGTTATTCCGGTGGTAAGCTGACGCAAAGAACAATCTGGGATTTGTCACCTGAGAAGGGCAACCTTGGGATCCATACACCTGCCCAAGCTCTAAAAGCTCCGGTAGGCAAGTTTACCCCCTTCTCCTAGCCGACCCACTGTCTTCCCAGCGTGGGCCGGGGTCCTAAGTCCTGAAGCCGGAGACTGGGGTCACCCCAGAACCACGACACCCTCCGCTGCCCTGAACTTTACCCAGAGTGGAGCCTCCTCTCCGTGTGCCTAGCCCCCGTCCCAAGGGGCACCGGCCCACGCCGAGCCGCAGCGCCCTTCGAAGCATGGCCCTTCTGAGGGTGGCCCCTGTGAGAGAAGCACCCTATCCCCGATAACCTCCTCACCTGCCGTCACAGCTCCGCGCCTCAGGCTGTTTAGACGAGCGCGCCCATTGGCCAGCGGCGCCCCTGGGCCCCGCCCCTCCGCGCTATAGGCTGCCACCTCCCCGTGACGTCCTCGAGAGCCCCGCCCAAGCCTGCCCCCAGCCACCATTGGCGACCCACGCGTCTACGTCAGTCCTGCGCGCCCTCGGTCTGAGTGGGGGTGGGAACCCGGCGGCTCTGAGCGGAAGTGCGGCTGAGCCGGTTTCCGGGGCCGCTGGTGTGACGTGTCCCGCGCTTGGCGCAGCAGGAAGCGGCGGCGATCGCGGCCTGAGTTCCCGGCGCCGGCCCCGGCTCCGTTCCCGCTGCCGCCATGCTCGACTTCTTCACCATTTTCTCCAAGGGCGGGCTTGTGCTCTGGTGCTTCCAGGGCGTGAGCGACTCATGCACCGGGCCCGTTAACGCGTTGATTCGTTCCGTGTTGCTGCAGGTACCGCCCCCGCGGTCAGAACTTCGGGCTCATACCGCTGATCTGATCCACAGTCCCCGTCGACTGATCGCGCGCCTCCCTCCCACCCTGGCCGCCCACCTCAGCCTGGCCGCTTACTTGTAACCTGGACTCCACCTCTTTCTCCCGCCCCCATCACACCGTCCCGCAACTTTGCGGCGACGCCCCCCCCCCGCCCCCGCTCCCGCTTTCTATGATTCTAGCCGGATTCCGGCGCCTCTTGAGACTTACCATCGTTCCCTCCCTTCACCCCCAGCAGCTTGCTGTCTGTTGTTTCGAAGCCTGGGTGAGCTAATGGGTGAAAAGCGCCTTTTAAAAACTGTAAATAGTGTACAGCTGCTAGTAGATCTGATTGTTTCTGTGAGGTCTACCTCCCTTCTGGCTCCCACGTCTTGCTTTCCCTCTCACCTCATTTCTCCTTCCCCTCAACTTGGTATCTCCTTTTCTCCCTGGTGGAATGCTAGAGAGCAGTGCCCTGGCATCCTCTTGTCCTGGGGACAGGTTTGACTTTGGGGGAATGTCTGGTTCTTTCCCAAAGGTAATCCTGGAGGGGCCCAAGTCTGGGTTTTCTGGAGGTAATCTGAACTCTGAGACATACTCTTTTTCCAGGAAAGAGGAGGTAACAACTCCTTCACCCATGAGGCACTCACACTCAAGTATAAACTGGACAACCAGTTTGAGCTGGTGTTTGTGGTAAGTGGGAGTATTTTAGGGGAACAATGATTACATCCTCAACAGAGTCTTGATTATTAAGAGAACCCTGATTAATTGCACCCAGTGTATATGATGAAGTAACTGAGAAGACAGGGAGGGTGGAGAGGGAAAGGGAAGAAGCTCCTGGGCCCAGTCAGAGAGCTTGGCTGACCCCTCAGGTCAGGGAAACCTGCCAGGTAGCTGAGTCAGTCTCTGGAGGCCTGGGTCGAGTTGCTTCCCTCTGTTCTGGGCAGGCATGTAAGCAGATCTGTTGGCTCTGTTTCTTTCCCTAAACAGGTTGGTTTTCAGAAGATCCTAACACTGACTTACGTAGATAAATTGATAGATGACGTGCACCGGCTGTTTCGCGACAAGTACCGCACAGAGATCCAACAGCAAAGTGCTTTAAGTCTATTGAATGGCACTTTTGATTTCCAAAATGACTTCCTGCGGCTTCTTCGGTGAGAGACCTCTGCTCTCCAAAATCAGTGTCCATAACTTGATGAACTCCTTTCCTTCCTGAGGGTGGTTCAAGGGTAGTAAGTGTATCGAAAGACATTCCTAAATTTGCTGCCCAGTTCTAACTGTCCTCTTGGTGTGACGGTTCTTTCACGGGACTTGGACCATTCTCTTCTCTCTTTAGTGAAGCAGAGGAGAGCAGTAAGATCCGTGCTCCCACTACTATGAAAAAATTTGAAGATTCTGAAAAGGCCAAGAAACCCGTGAGGTCCATGATTGAGACACGGGGTGAAAAGCCCAAGGAAAAAGCAAAGAACAGCAAAAAAACCAAGGGGGCCAAGAAGGAAGGTGAGTTTTGAGCTTCTTGGACATACTGGGGCATGAAAAGTTATTAACGTACTGAGGACTGAAGTGGTTCCCTGTCCTTCCCTTTGTCATTGCTTGCCTCCCTTGCTTAAATGCCCATCACCCTCACTATCATCCTCAGTCTGTGTGATCCCCAAGATGTTTGCTCCTAGTTTTCTCTTAAGGATTTGGACGACTTGTTCCCATTGTCTGTCTTGTTGGAATTTGGTCCTTTTTTCTCCGAACAGGTTCTGATGGCCCTTTGGCTATTGGCAAAGCAGTCTCTGCAGAAAAGTCAGGTCTCTCAGTGGGGCCTGAGAATGCAGTAGAACTTTCCAAAGAGGAGCTGATACGCAGGAAGAGAGAGGAGTTCATTCAGAAGCACGGGAGAGGTATGGAGAAGTCCAGGTGAGCATTTTAACTTTCGCCATAGATACTGTTATCTAGCCATGTTGGGGGCAAGGGAGTTCTTGTCTCTGGCTCTTGGGTGGATGTTTCCTCTCTTGCTTCTCCACCATAACCTTTGTGCTGTAACCCTTTGCAGCAAGTCCGTGAAGGCAGATGCTCCAAAGGAGAAGGGCAAAAAAGCACCCCGGGTGTGGGCCCTGGGTGGCTGTGCTAACAAGGAGGTCTTGGATTATAGCACTCCCACCACCAATGGAGCCCCAGAGGTTGCCCCGCCTGAGGACATCAACTTGGTAAGAAGCAACAAGGGCTGGAGTGAAGGTTACCATTAATAAGAAACTGGGGAGGAAGTGGAGATTAGTGGGGGGGGGGGGGTGCCTTGGATTTCTTTGACCGAGGGGGTGAGTTACATTTGGAGCTTCCCAAATCAGAGACAGAGCAGTGTAACTCCTGGGCTTTTTCCCCCTCCGAACCGTTAGTGTTCCTGATCCCATTTCCTTCCTTTCCCCAAACCCTCCAGATCCGAGGGACTGGGCCTGGGGGGCAGCTTCAGGATCTGGACTGCAGCAGCTCAGATGATGAAGGGGTCACTCAAAACTCCACCAAACCTAGGTAGGGGGATTTCAGGTGATGGGTGGTATGTGTGGTTCCACAATGGACGAGACTTGACTCCTGCCTGCTGGCTTTATGTGTATCCATAATCTCCTGTGCCTGCAGTGCTACCAAGGGGACTCTGGGTGGCATGTTTGGGATGCTGAAGGGCCTTGTGGGTTCCAAGAGCTTGAGTCGTGAAGACATGGAGTCTGTGCTGGACAAGATGCGTGATCATCTCATTGGTAAGTTCTGAGGAACAGGTGGACTCATGTTTACGGGGTAGGGATGGTGGAGTGTAGAACCTAGAGCTCCTCCCCTGTACCATAAGGGTGGTTCACTGTTGACATGGCACTCACACACCTGTCCCCCTCTCCTCAGCTAAGAATGTGGCAGCAGACATTGCAGTCCAGCTCTGTGAATCTGTGGCCAGCAAGTTGGAAGGGAAGGTGATGGGGACTTTCAGCAGTAAGTATCCCCTGAAACCAGAAAGTGCGTGGGGCATTATGCATACCAGGAGGTTAAGTGCATTGGCGTGCATTCTTACTAGGTGCGTGACTCTTGGCAAGCTCCTTAACATCTAAACCTCCAGTACATAAGTTAGACTTGAAGAGTTATTAGGAGGATTAACTGAGTTGATACTTGTAAATTGCTTAGGACAGTATCAGATGTGATGTGGATTCCTGGGGCAGGATCCTAGTATCATCCAGATCCTAATTCCCTTAGCTCAGAAAGGTGGTGGGCGTTCTTGGAGTACATTCCTTGGCTTTCATGGATGTGCCTCTCCTCCCCTCTTCAGCGGTGACTTCCACAGTCAAGCAAGCCCTCCAGGAGTCCCTGGTACAGATTCTGCAGCCACAGCGTCGTGTAGACATGCTCCGGGATATCATGGATGCCCAGCGTCATCAGCGCCCTTATGTTGTCACTTTCTGTGGTGTTAATGGAGTGGGGAAGTCGACCAATCTTGCCAAGGTCAGTGCAGTTCCCCAGCCTGTGTCTGACATCATTTCTTCACTCTCCATGTCTTAGCAGCTGGCTCTAGGTGACAGTTTTCTTTGCCTGTTTTGCACAGATTTCCTTCTGGCTATTAGAGAATGGCTTCAGTGTCCTCATTGCTGCCTGCGACACATTTCGTGCCGGGGCTGTGGAGCAGCTGCGTACACATACCCGGCGTTTGAGTGCCCTACACCCCCCTGAGAATCACGGTGGCCGCACCATGGTGTACTTGTTTGAAAAGGGCTATGGCAAGGATGCTGCAGGCATTGCCATGGAAGCTATTGCCTTTGGTACAGTGCACAGAAAGCGTGGGAGCTTCTCTGGGCCCCTTTCCTCCTTGGGTTACCTTGGGATTTGCAGAGGATCAGGGTTACCCTACCACCAAGTAACTTACTGCTCACGTCATGATTAGTGACTTCCATGCTCTGCCTTCGGGCGATAGGTGTAGTTGCTGGCAAAGCTAACATAGCCCAAATGAAGAAACCTCTATTTGGTCACCTTTATCTTACTGCCATCCTTTTGCTGAATATAGGAAATGTAAACATAGGATAGGTTTTTTTCTCACACTACTCTGAATATAGGAATATAAGCATAGGATAGGTTTTTTCTCACACTACCTTGTAACCAGATCCAGAGCCCAAGAAAGGAGAAGGGAAACAGGCTTTCAATATAGTCACGCTAGGACTTCTTGAGAGGAAGCTGGAAATGAGGATGAATGACAGTCCAGGAATTTTGAGTTGACCACTTTTTTTCTCTCTAGCACGTAACCAAGGCTTCGATGTGGTGCTGGTGGACACAGCTGGCCGCATGCAAGACAATGCCCCTCTGATGACTGCCCTCGCCAAGCTCATTACTGTCAACACACCCGACTTGGTGCTGTTTGTAGGGGAGGCCTTAGTAGGCAATGAGGCTGTGGACCAGCTGGTGAGGGCTAGGGCCTGGTTCTCTTTCCAGCCTCAGCTTTGGCCAGTTAGATGCTTCTCGTACTTATTTCATGTTTCTCCTTTCCAGGTCAAGTTCAACAGAGCCTTGGCTGACCATTCTATGGCTCAAACACCTCGGCTCATTGATGGCATTGTCCTTACCAAATTTGATACCATTGATGACAAGGTAAATGTGGATGACACAGGACAAAGTGAGACTGGGAAGGGGAATGGCCATCCTTCACAAGAGAGCTGAGGCTATAAGGATATGTTGGCTCTAGAGCTTCTTGTTACTGAAGGAGTGAAGAGAAGTGGCCTTGAGTTGACTGGGTATCCCCTTTCTCCACTTCAGGTGGGAGCTGCTATTTCTATGACCTACATCACAAGCAAACCCATCGTCTTTGTGGGCACTGGCCAGACCTACTGTGACCTACGCAGTCTCAACGCCAAGGCCGTGGTGGCTGCCCTCATGAAGGCTTAACATGGCTCTTGCCCAATACCAAGTCACTGCTTCCCCCAGAGGCCCTCTTCCTGTTTCAAGAACGTGCTTTAGAGTATGTGAGCAACTTGTCTTCAGTAGAGTACAAAAGCAGAGTGAGGGGAGCTCCAGGGGCTTGCAGCTCCTCCTGATCTCCCTCCCTGTGGAGCCCAGCCTCCATCTGCACAGAGGGCCTAATCATGTTACAGTCTCTGCCCACTGCCCCTCCTCCATTGTCCTCACCCTTCCTACTCAGGCATTCCCTTCACTCTGCCTACAGGCTCGGTCTCATTACAGCTTTGACCAATGGTTGGAAGATCCAACACCAGAGCTTTGCTAATTAGTGTGCTCACAGGGACCTCTGAGCATAATGAGCAGTTTAAGGTCCCAGCTGCATTAGATTAAGAGACTTATACAGAGCCAGCTCTGGGTCTTGAGTGGCACCTCTCCCTAGGATATATAGCTTTCAGGTCCCTGGGGCCAGGATGACACCCACCACAGTGGCAGTGTATGGCCTGTTCTTAATTGCTGCTAATTCTGATAATGATCCCTATCCTTGTTGTTTCCCAAAGCATCAGCTAGGCCAGAGTGATTTGTTACAGATGAGCAAAAGATGAGTCCCCTCTTCCCTCAGAAATAAAGGGAGCTGAGCTGCAGTGTTGCATTGGGCTTCTCAGCCTTCCAACTCTTCCCCACGCCCAGAATCCAGATGTAAGCTTTGCATGTTCCCTTCCTGGGAGAAAACCAACTGTCAGAAGGGTATACACGTTGCCCCCTCCCCCACCCCCATTCTTACCCTCCTGAGCGGATCCTGGCTTTTCCTCCTCCTCTCTACAGTGCCTGGTAGACAAGTGCTACGTTGGAGAATACAGACCTCTTGTTAAGACTTGTCCTGTAGCTTGGTATTACAGATGTGCTATTAGTGCAATAAGGTGAAGGCTGTCTGCCCAGAGAAATACATAATTTATATAAAAAAATAAATTTCATAAATAAATTGCCTTTTCTGTCTTGGAGTTATTTTATGTAGAGTTCAGAACTAAAATCTCACAAACACTGTCCCACTAATGAGATTAACTACAGTTCTAGGGTTTATGGTAAGAGAAACAAAGCAGGAATTGATAATGCTCTGAGGAATCTGGGAAAAATAAATGGTTGTCCCGAGAACGAGATCACCCCACTCCAAGGTGAACTTTTAAAATTTAAACTGAGTTAGAAAAGTTAGGCTTGTTAGTACTTTTGCAGGTTATGAGTTTTCTCAAGTGACTCTAAAAGGAGAGCCAGGGCCCTGGGAAGTAAATGAACAAGCTTTTAATACAGCTCAATTATGTAAAATACTGTACACTGTAAAAGATCTAGAAAACTAGAGCTTCAAGTCATGTTTTAAAAAAGCCATTAAGCTTAATTGAAAAACCAAGTATGGAGTACAAAACTGCAACAAGGGCCATGGTGACTCCATGGCACGTAGATCCCAAGTCCTTCATGCAGAGCTGCAGCTGCAGTCAGTGGAGGTATCCCATGGATCTGCTGCGTGGACACAGGCATGTCCAGCCTCGGGGTGGGGTGGGGTAGGGGGCTACACTTGGGTCCCACTGTCACTTGGGTATTCTTGAGCCGGAACAGGCCACAGAAGATCACAAACCAGCTGGCATAAAGGATTAAGTTGGAATGTTCCCCCCCACTCTACCCCCAACCTTCGCCTCTGGTTTTGGTACTTCCTAGGAGCTGTGTTGGGTTCATGTAGGTTTACTTCTTAAACACTGTCCACAGTAGGGCCTTACAACTTGGTCTAATGGTGGAGATTTCTCGAGTGCTCTCAGGTACTACAGTCTGTGGAGAGAAGGAAAAGGAAGAGAATAAAATGAAGTTTCACAGAACAGGTTTATACATCCAAAGCAACGATATCTAAGTCAAGCATAACCCTGCAGAAGACAAGACATAATGGACACTAGGAATCTTGTCATAGACTTGATAGGAAAATACAGAATCCTTAACAGGTAGGAGAGCTAAGTCACTATTCTCCCAGGTCTCAACTAAGTCCTGGGAAAACATTTTCTGCTAACAAACCGACAAACAGTAGAATAGGAAATAGTATACCTCTTATTTCACTGTGTGCTGTAGATGAGCCATTTAGCTGACCTTCTCTCACCATCCCTGCTGAAGAGAATGTACATCAGTAAGAGATATTAGACTGAAAAGCTAAAACTATTAATAGTAGAATGAAAACCAACTAAAGGGAGCTGAAAGCACATGGTCTAAGAAGGATGGCATTCTTCAGTAATGACCACACTACAGAGAAGGTAAGGAGGTGAGAAGACTAAGCTGGAGTTGTCTTCAGAGAGTTGTAAGTAACAGGGAAGCAGTAAGGTCCCTGAGTACACTAACTGCTTATAAACAAAGCAAAATTGTACATGGGCAAACTGTGTCTGCTGTCCCTAACTAGTCTAGGAGGCCAAATTTAGGTAAAAATATTCAGTCTGACCAGGGATGGAGAACAGCATGCAAGTGAGCAAATTCAACCAAGAAGAGGGAAAAGGAGCAGACGCTCCCACAGCATGACATGGGTTAGAGCTCTACTGGTGCCACATGGCGCCATTAGCCATGTGTGGCTATTTAGTGTTAAAAATTCCATTCCTCGGTCACACTGACCACATTTCAAATGCTCAACAGCCACACGTGGCTTGTGGTTATGGTACTGCACAGTGAAGACTATAGAATATTTCTATCACTGCAGTAAATTCTGTTAGACAGCACTGGGATTGATAATGGTATAGGAAAAAGTTTAAAACTGACCACATGGAAGAAAAGAATAGTAATCAGAAATACGGCCAATTAAAGTATAAATAAAAGACAGTACTCAAACATACAAATTGGTATTCCCCTCCTGGAAAGCACCTGAGCAATATTTATCAACCACTAAAATGTTCATGCCCTTTGACCCAGTAATTACACTGAAAACCTATCTGAAATAAATTACTGGTAAAAGGAAAAACTAGGGATGAAGATATTATTCACTGCAACAGTACTTACAATAGAAAAAACTAGAAAAAAATTAGAAATTGCCTAACCTAGGGGAATAATTAGGTAAACTAACTCCACACTAGATTATAACACAGTCAATAAAATAGTGGTAATGAAGACTGTAGCCATGTGGGAAAATGTACGATTTACCACTGAATAAAAAAAGTACGAACACTGTATGTATACTTTGTTTACAACTGAAAAAACGCATAGGGAAAATTGTTAATTGGAAATACACCGAGGGCCGGCTCCGTGGCTTAGCGGTTAAGTGCGCGCGCTCTGATGCTGGCGGCCCGGGTTTGGATCCCGGGCGCGCCCCGAGGCACCACTTCTCCGTCCAGCCCGGGGCCGGGTCCCGCGTACGGCAACTAGAAGGATGTGAACCTACAACATACAACTATCTACTGGGGCTTTGGGGGGAAAAAATGAATAAATAAAATCTTAAAAAAAAAAAAAAAAGGAAATACACCGAAATAACTGCTTATATTATGGTAATAAATTATAAAAGAAGTTTCTTTTTCCTATTAATTTCTCTGAAATAAATGTACTAGATCCTACAGAATCTTTTGAACCCAAGTAATTTTCCCTATGCAAAAGTGAGTACCCAGCACAGTGATAGGGACATAGCAATGCTCAGTTTTAAAAAACAAAACAATGGAGGCCAGCCCCGTGGCATAGCGGTTAAGTGTGCGCACTCCACTGCTGGCGGCCCGGGGTTCGGATCCCAGGAGCGCACCTACACACCGCTTGTCAGGCCATGCTGTGGTGGCGTCCCACATAAAGTAGAAGAAGATGGGCACGGATGTTAGCTCAGGGCCAGTCTTCCTCAGCAAAAAGAGGAGGATTTGCATGGATGTTAGCTCAGGGCTGATCTTCCTCACACACACACACAAAAAACAACAGCAAAATACCTCTTACCTCTTATGAGTATGATCTACAGAGACTCAAAACACAACCAAGGATGCAAGACAAGCTTGACTTGTCTCAAAATGAATAGTGTTTTTAACCTAAAACTACTCTGCTATATTTCAAGTCACGAACGCCGCTGACCATTCTAATAAAGCCCCCTAGCCATAATAAAATTCCCTGATTTTTAAAAATTCAGAATACCCTAACGAGTGCCAATTTGGGGAAAGCCTCTCTGGTAGAAAGCCTGTGCAGCTAAGAAAAGAATTTGTGCCACTCTACAATACTCAGATTTTTGTCAAGAAATGGTTTGGTGTACAGGAACTGCTGTCCAGAGGGATTTTGTTGTTTTCAATTTTAACATCTTCTCTGGGTAGATGATCTCAGAAAGTAAATCAAAATAAATATGTAGAGCTTGGGTATGTGCCTCTTGTTTAACGAAAATAGAATATGTGCAATGGAAAAGCCTATGGAAAGTGCTCAGTGTGGACAATAGCAGAAGAATCTGAAACACTGCAGGACAGCAGAAAACGCACCCCCAAGAAAGAATAGCAAATTGTTTTCACAAAAGAGATAAACCGAAAGGTCTGTCGTTTCAAGGGTTTTCTAAAGCCTTCCGGAGAAAGGGTAGACACGGTTTTCAGTGCTCAGTTACGGTGATGCCTTTTACAAATCTTGCTCCATCAAAGCATAGCCATGGATAATAAGAGCTTATGGGATTCTCATTACAGGAGAATTCCACTTGAAGCAATCTGATTCAGAAAAGAAATGTGGGAATGATGATTAGATTTAGGAAAAGTTTTCCCTATATAAATAACCCGTACTTTAATAGGCCTCCTAAGATGCATTCAGATTGACAATGAAAATACACGTTAACATGTAACTTTTCAAGAACATATTTTACGCACAACAGCCAAGTTTCTTTGGAACTGGGTGGTGAGTCAGAATGGCCATACTCTGGGGTCTGGCTTTACTTAAAGTAAGGTTTAAAAAGCATTCTTCAATGTAGTTGATACCAACTAGTGCTGCATTTTCTAGGGTTATTGGCAATTTGCGTGGAGCCATTAGTAAACTGAACCTTTATCCCTACCTGGCTTTCTTGTTAGAAGCTGGAGGTAAAATCTCAGGTGTGGTACCCCTAACCTCTGACTTGAACACCACCACAACAGTTTCCAAACAGCATTTTAAAAGTCTGGGGTTTTTTTCCTATTTATAAAAATAATGCATAATAATTGCAGAAAATGCTAGCATAGAAACCAAGTATTTTAAAAAACATTAAATCCTACTGCATAAAGATAACCAGTTAATTTAGTAAACACTGTTCCCGATATTTCTTTATACACACACACAAACAAAAACAGAACACCCTACAATTCAGTATAGCCGGGACTGCCCATGGTGGTGTTCCACAACCTGCTTTTTTTCCTTCACTCACAATATTATCTCTCTGACATCTTTTCGAGCAATAAAAACATTTTCCTTCTTATGGCTTCACTGTATTTCATCAATTAAATAAATGGTGTATTTATAGAATCCTCTATTAACTGGAACATTTTAGGTTGCTTCCAATTTTGTGCCATTATATACAACACTGATTACATTCCCACACCTATATCTTTGTGCAATTGTCCAATTATATCCTTAGGAGACATTTCTCCTAAGATAAGTTGCATCCAGTGGGATTTCTGGGTCAAAGGTTTTTAAATTTTGAACATATTCCAAACCTTCTCTTCAGAAAAGCTACACTAACTTTACCTTCCCACCAACACTACATGAATATATTTCTTTCCTCACAGCCTTAGCCAAAACTGAGTTACCATTCCTTCCTATTTTGAAATGTAAATTCTAACTGCATTTCACTGATAACTAGCAAGGGTGAATAATTTTTCATTCTTCCTACTTCTACACTGAACTGCTAGACTATGTCATTTCCCATGTCATTTTCCTACTATCCAATGGCATTTTATTCTAACCTGAAGACTAACTATGATCTTCCTCCAAAATTTAGTTAGGATTATATTCCTCATCTTGGTAATGATTTTACCCATCACAAATACATAAAAGGCTGAAGAGCTGTTGCTCTCTGATCCCTCTTGTCTCAAAATGCATCTTACCTGATCTCCCCCTTGTGGAGATCTCACACGTCAGTCGCTTGAAATATTCCGGAAGATCAGCATATTCATTTCCATAGGAGATAACCTTAATCCCTTTGTCCAGCATGTTTTCTCGAAGCTTCTTGAACTCATCTACATCTCCTCTCCGAACCAGCATGAAATGTTCTAAGTCAGATTTATGCTTGACAGCCTCCAGAAAAAGGGCTTGGAAAGTGGTGTCATCCACAGTCCAGCCACAACCCAGGAAAAGAAATGACTTGTTTTCATAGAGTTTCTGAATCTCTCTCTTGCAGGAAAAGAAAAAACATATTAATGGCACCATGAAGACACACACAAGGCATGTCTGAAACAAAAAGTCAATAGGGTCATAAACGCTACATTTAGCAGACTGTGCCGACTGATTAACCAAGATTTAAGATACATCCCATGAAGGAATCTGATATTTTTATTGTTTATTACTATAACTTGATGATTGGTCTAAAATTTTATCTGGCATTCTCCTGTAGGCAATCTATTCCGAGTTTCACTGCGTTGGCACTGGTCTACTGGCCATGTAGTTTATTTTTTAGATCTATGTGTCCAGAGGCCATAAGGCAATGAGTAGTCTTCATTATATTGTACTCTCTCCATTTTCTGGATCATAGTTGCCTTTTTTGCCTTACAAACTGAACCATGGATCACCAGAGAAGATAATTTCATCACCAGATTTGCTCAAAGAAAGTCTGACACTTAGAACATCAATACATATGTGTGTGCATGTGTGTATGTATATATATGTACACACACACACATATAAACACCAGAAATGATTTTGCTTAAGGGATCACTCAACGTCAGCGATGGATGAGGTTACAACAGATGTCAAGGAAAGAACAGGTGGAAAAAAGTCCCTTATGCTTTAGAAAACATTACATTTTCTTGGTCTTTCTTTTGCCGCATCATATGAAGATACTACTATTCTAAGTGACCCAGTCCTAAAAATAGCCAGTATACACTCTTCTCAGAGTTGCAGGCCAGTGATTTTTCCCACATATCCCTGGCCAGGGAGTGCTTCTGGTTTGAACATGTATGTGTGAACAAGTCTAAAACCTGCATTCTAAAAGATCAATAAGCTTTTTCACAATGAAGAAAACCTCCATTTATAACCCTAGTCGAATTTTTTTCAATCTTCCCCATTGAGCAATAAGTGTGAATTAAGTGCAGTAATTCAATATAAGCCCATCACCATTTAGACAAAATCTTTTTAGAATGTATGTTCTACTAGTGATTTGTCAGCAAAAACCTTCATGAATTATTTTTGGCATAGAAAGGGTTATTTATAATAAACCAAACGATGAAGAAGGGTAATAGTGTATTCTTTGTATGTAAAGATGATGTCAATGACAGAGTGCCATCTGGTGGCTGTGAATCAAGTACAAAGGAAAACCCTATGGCTTGATACCTAAAAAGATGTTCTACATTTCCTAAGATGGTATGCACAACTATAAGCTAAAAAACACAGGAAAGAATGTCTGACCTTCCAATTTTTAATTAATGAAAAGAAAATATTACCCCCTGAAGATCAATGGTATATTTAGAGGTTTCCTAAGAAGGTTTCCCCAAGACCAGCAAGATCAGCATCACTCACCATAACTTCAGTGTTCCTGAGCACATTCTGATACCCAGCTGGATGAAGGACAATGCCACTAGGGTTGGTGTAGACCCCATGGATGTGTAACACACTCAGCTTCCGCTTCTCCTGAGCCCACTCTAGGACCTGCACAACACAAATACAGCTCAACCAGGTTGGCAGGGCTGAGCACTTGCTGCAGCGTCCCAATGGGCAAGAGGCTGTTTTGAGGACTAGGCTTCTGACATAACTCTCCAGCTTCATGATACCATGGGGCAAGAACGCAAAACCTGCTGTGGCCTCAGTTTCCATTTCAGGTGTGACTGTCAGGACTGATGGCAGCAAGTCTGGTGATTTCTCTTGGAAAGGAACAATCAAAAATTAGAATTTATTTGCCATCATCTGTAGAAACAATAGGGGCCCTTTCCACTGGTGACATCCATGAGAGCTATGGATGACTGTATCAGTAATGGTCCCCAAGATAGCAAGCCTCCTTGTATCCATGCCCTTGTGCAGTCCCTTCTCACACTTCCTCCAGGCTTGGCCATATGCTTGCTTTAGCCCACGGGGCCTCAGCAAACACAACACAAGCAGAAGCTTGAAAAATGTTGGCACAAGTCTTATTTCTCTTCTGCTTTTGGAACTCAGCTACCATGTGAAGAAGCCTAGGCTAGCCTGCTAGAGATGCATGGCCCAGCTGACTACCTGCACCAGCAGACATGGAAACGAGGCCACCCTCCACCACCCAGCCTCAGTCTGGCCACCAGATGATTGCAGCCATGTAGGTAACCCGCAAAATCTGAAAAGCAACAGAAGAACTGCCCAGCTGAGCCGCTGAGCCTAGCTCAAACTGCTAATTCACATTATCATGGGCAAATAAAATGTTGTTTCAGGCCACAGAGTTTTAGGGTGGTTTCTTGTGCAGCAAGTGATAACCAATAAAAGTCTCTTCAGTCACCTCTGAGTTACCTCAAAGGCTATCAATGAAGCACAATCATTTAGACAACAATGATAACAGCCTCCTGGATTCCATGGTCCCATTTTCCCAGGGACTTGAGACAGCATAAATTTATTCTCATAACGTTCTAGAGAAATAAGGTATGGATTAGGAAAAATAGTCAAGAGGCACAGAGATTTAGAATTTGAATATTACTTGGCCCTCTTCTGACTATCAGTCAATGTCTTTAACCATTAGACTTCAATATTGCCCCTAATGTGGACTAAAAATATAAAGCAAATCTCAAGGCTCCAGGAGGAAAATGAGAAGGGAAATACCAAGTCTGAGAGATATCCTTAACTCTGAAAAGGCCTTTATGCTTTAGATGCTGGTTATGATCTTGGGAGATTTTATCAGAAGCAGCATGGAAGCTGTTTCTAGCCATTGGCTTTTGAATTTCATTCAATCATTTATTAACTCAAAAAATACTTACTGAGCACCCACTACGTGCCAGGTACTATCTCAGATTCTAGGGTAAGAAAGGCGGATGTGGTACTTATCCAAATGGAGTTGCTATTCCTGTGGGGTAAACAGGAAACTTGCCTGTGAAAGTTGGAGTAAAGGCCATGAAGGAAATGGACAAAAAAATAAGGGGTAGCCCCTTCTTAAATAGGATGTCAGAGAAGGCCGTTCAGAGGAGGTGATGCTGAAGTTGAGGCTTACAGGTGAAGAAGGAGCTGGCTGTACAAAACTTGGGGGTAGTAGGTGGAAGATATTCCAGCCAGAGAAAACCAGTCTGCATGGCACCATTTCTCTAAATTTGATTTCCTTTTAAAACCTGCCCTCCAGGTTGGCAAAATCACCAGTGGTATTACAGTGGCTATTCTTGCAGTGGCACTGACAAGGAAAGCCAGGGGGTGAACTACTATCTGTTCAAACTCTATTTAGCTGGGCTCTAAGGTGGACACAAAGGCAGGCTCCTGGGAAAACAAAGTGTAGAAGGAAAATTACAAAAACGACAGAGCAGGACAAACGAGACCTGGTGGCATTTCACAGCCCGTATTGTTTTCTGTTTTCTTCACTCATTATGTCTCTGACATCTTTTTATGGCAATGAAAACATTTTCCCTTTTATGGCTTCACTGTATTTCATCACTTAAATACATGCTGGGGTATCTACAGAATCTCCTACTGGTGCCTGATTTCAAATTACACTCAGATGACCATTCTAATAAAGCCTCATCTCATCGGTTGACAGAGATCCACAGTGATAATTCAATATTATGCTGGATGGCTTAGGTACAGTATGGGCTACAATAAAAAAAAAGTCTGCTGAGGTTTCCCCTGAACATTAACCTCAACCCAGCTGTCACGTGGCCTGAACACTGCTCTTCCAAACCTCATAAAGCAGTCTTCATACATTTCCAATAGATGCCATAAAGAATATATCCTAAGAGAGAACTCTAAATCAATATTACACCCACTTGATATTACAAGTGTTAAAGAGATCTTACAGTTCAAATGACTTTCTATAATCTTGCTTTAAAATTGGGTGTAATTGTCAAAACTCAGAACTGAGCACTTTTAAGATCTGTGCATTCTACTGTATATTGATTTTGTTTCAGAAACCAAAAAACAAAAATCCAACCAGGGACAAGATTCTTCCTTTCTGCCTCTACATAAATACCAGTACTACACAACACACCAACTAGAAAACAGTTTTCCTGAAGAGGAAGATACAATCCACTAGCCTGAAGAGGACACCAATCCTTTACTTTTTACCTTTTTCTCATCAGTAAGGTCAAGGGATTCAAGCTGTTTTCCCTGATCTGCTGCATACAGTTCCAGGAGATTGTCAAAATTTGTAGTTAATACCAGGGCTCCATTTTCCATCAGATGGAGAACTGACTGAAGTAGCTGTTTTCCAGAATCTTCCATCTTGGACTCCAAGTCATCAAATACTTCATATAAACAGTCCTTGAAAAACGTGGATCGAACATTACTAGTACGCTGGGGAAAGATTTGAAAGAAAAAAATTAATCCTAGGTGTTTTGGTAGGTGATTTGTTTAGTTACAGTAACAGCAAATTTTTGAAGAATACTTTGTACTTAAAATAAGGATAAAATATTGTCTACCTCACAGGGTTCTAATAAGGAAAATAGGATGATAATGCCAAGTACTCAGCACAATGCCTGGCACACAGCAGTGATCAGTCCTATGACATGAATAGGCATTTTATAGAATGAAGAAAAGGGAGTGGCAAAGAGATGTGAGTCACCACCAGGACTAAAGGGACACCAGAGAAGAAAGCACAGCACCCACTACCCTCTAATGAGGCCTCGGGGAAGAAGGCAGTACTTCCTGTTAAACTTCCCTTATCCAAGGAATAACCAATGAGACAGCTCGAAATGTGGTTTAGCATCTCTTCTTCTAATCCTAGGTGCTTTCTACAGATGCTTACGTATTTAGGAAAAACTGCTCGCTTTCTCCTCACTTGTTTTTTTACCTGGGATAATTCAGCAATTTGTTTACAGGTTTGCTAGGAAGAATACTTAGTATATAATAAAGGTTATCAAAAATCTGCATTTTGCAACTATTAAAAAATACCAAATATTCATCAATTCTAAATAGACTCCTTATTTCTTACATAGGGTTTTTTAAATAACTGCTTTCCCAGATTCATTTTGAATATATGTAAATATTTCTGAGAATTAATGAGGAAATATAATACTAACCTTAGGTGGGAAGTGGGCTTTATAACTTAAAAGTGGCCCCGGGGACAAAAGGAATTTGAAATGGGAAAGTAACTATGTGATGTGCTGTAATAAACGTCTGATCCCTATCGTATTTCTGTCATTCCATTAGGTAACATCAGAGCAAGAATTATTTCTTAAAGGCCCCAATATTTCCCATTCAAATGTGGGAAGTAATTGCACTTAGTTGGTAGATAGTAGATATTTAGCTCCTTTTGTTCTTCCTCAAAGTGGGCCCCCTACCTTCCTGGTTTCCTGTGGTGTATCTTTCTAATAGCACAATGTTCAGATAAACATCTGTTTCCATGGAAGCATGTATGCAGATTTGTAAAACATGTTTCAATTTGCCAAATTCTTTTCCTAATTGTTCAAAGTATTTTATAAAATTATCAATTCTTTTATTACACCTACCAAATAAATGGCAGATATCTTCACAGTAGCAAAATTAGAGTACAGAGGTGTAACGGTACCTCTGCCTGGTGGAGACACACCCAGAAGTTTATCTGGTTCTGTCAATTTGTTCCATGCCACATCCACCACTAGACCAGCTTTTCACGGTACCCTGTGTCAGTGGGCTCACAGATTCTTTTCTAGCGCTAAAAAGATGCTATGGCCCATAATTTATGGGGCTGAGACTGTGGGTCGTGTTTTTCAACTTTTGTCCATTCTCATTACATAATGGCATGAATAATTACATCACATATTAGCAGCCCATAGGCAACCAACTGGAGACTCTAACACTCAATCAGGATGAACAATCTGATCAGAAACAAAGACTGAAGAATTTATAATCCTAGTGATTGTATTTCACTACATACAAGAGTCAACTACAATTGAATGTCAGCACTTTTCTAGATTTGTTATCGAAAATATGGTGCCCCTTTAATGTCTATCAAAATTACAACACATTTACCGTACAATCTTGCAATCTCATTCCTGGGAATATATCCCACAGATATAACTGCAAACAAATGAAATGACATATACAAGGTTATCACTGCTCTGTTATCTGTAACGGTAAAAGCCTGGAAACATACAGGAGATTGGTATGGCCAAGTACCCGTATGTAAGAGACTGCTGCGGAAAGATCTCCAGGATATACTGTTGAGTAAAACAAACAAGGTGCAGAACAGTATGTCTAGAATGCTACCTGTTGCCGTGGCGGATGGAGGCAGTGAGATAAGAATAAATACAGTCCTATTTCCTTGTTTTTTGCAAAAAGGAACACTGAAAGAATACTCAAAAAGCTAGTAAGAGTGATGACTTATGTGCAGTGAGCTGGGGAGACAAAGACACAGGGGGGAGCGAGATCTCGCAATGTCCATAAACTTTTCTACATCATTTTGAATCTGCAATGTGTACAAACAGTACCTATTCAAAAAAGCAAAACTAAGTTTAAAATTAAATAAAGAATATGGTGATTTGAGAACTTCCTGGTTGTGGTTTATCTTCTCGTACTCTGATTCACACACACACACAGTTATACAACACGACATTCCAGCACCAGTTTAACCATTACGCACACAGATAAAAACACCTCAGTATACAACCAGGTAGTCATAAGTGTGTAATATATTTTCTTGCTTCTAAGAAAAGAAGGTTAAAGCCTGAAAATAAATGTCATGAGTCAGTTATTTCAGCTAACTATCTTTTAGTCCTATTTCTTTAAGTTATTATATCTTGCAAATCAACATAGAGAGGAAAGAAAGAGGCTTTTGTAGCTGCACTGACTTCCTCAGACTTAAAATGAATGTTTTTCTCTCTTGAAGCAGGTGACCCTAGAACTGAATTTCCCACCAGTGGCCTCTCTAAGTAAAGACAAAGAATGAAAACAAACAAGGAGGTTCCACGGTCAAAAAGAAATGCAGACCTCCCACACAAACTATGGACATTTTCTCATTCCCTTAAGACAGTGACCTGAATCAGAAGCTACTTCATTTCCTTCTGCCCTGTAACTCTCACCTCTCTGATCCCAAATACAGTAAAAACAAAAAAAGTCCTGCCTCTTTCTCACCAAGGTTACTAACGTTTATAGTGCACTGACCATGTGCCAGACACTTTATACACAGTATCTCACTTATTCTTACCTTCATAAGAGGTAAGTGTTATCCTAGTTTTACAGGTGCAAAAACAGATGCTGGAAAGTGCAGTGATTTGCCCAGAGTCCCAGTGCATTTAAATGGCAGAGTCTCTCTGATTCTGAAACCCAAGCTCTTTGCATTGAACGCACAATGTGAAGTCTTTGGTAGTGAAGAATACAATGATGACCAGCACAGCTTGGTTTACTGTCTTGATTCACACTGAGGCACCAGCAATTTTCCCACCATTGCTTCTGCACCATCAGTGCACTGCCCTATTACTAGAAACTGGCTCAGTCTTATTACTGTTGTTAGATTCTTTAAAAAATATACATATATGGACATTTTCAAACACACACAAAAGCAAAGTATAAACCCCCCCACATTTCCATCTTCCAGTTTCAACAATTATCACACACAGCCAATCTTGTTTAATCCAAACTCCCCTGCACCATACCCTTCCCTTCCTCCCTTCACTGAAGTTTTCTGAAGCAATTCCCAGGCATCATGTCATTTCACTCAGATAGTCCAACAGTCCCCTAAAAGATGAGGATTCCCCTTTACATATAAAACAAAACATAACTACAATACCACTATCACATCTAAAATAATGCAGTAATATTAATTTCCTAATATCAAACACTCAGATAGTATTCAAATTTCCCCAAATGTGTCTCTCTCTCTCTTTTTTAAGCCTTTGGGTTATCTGTATTTTTTTCTTACATATCCTCTATTGGAGTGGTTTTCAAAATGTGGCCCATAGACCCTGTGGATCCCTAAGATTATTTAAGGGATTTGCAAAGTCCAAATTATTTTCATCATAATATTAAGGCACTATTTGTCTTTTAAACTGTGTTGATATTGCACTGATGGTGCAGAAGCAATGGTGGGAAAACTGCCGGTGCCTTAGTAGGAATCAAGACAATAAACCAAGCTGTGCTGGTCATCATCGTATTCTTCACCACCAAAGGCTTACACAAAGAAGCAGCTTTTGTTTCTTCACTCAAGAAGGTCCTTGGGCCGGCCCCGTGGCTTGGTGGTTAAGTGCGCGCGCTCCGCTGCTGGCAGCCCAGGTTCGGATCCCGGGCGTGCACCGACGCACCGCTTCTCCAGCCATGCTGAGGCCGTGTCCCACATGCAGCAACTAGAAGGATGTGCAGCTGTGACATGCAACTATCTACGGGGGCTTTGGGGGAAAAAATTAAATAAATAAAAATTATATAAAAAAAAAAGAATGTCCTCAATGAAGCAGTAAAAATTATTAATTGTATTAAATTTTGATCCTTGAGTACATGTCCTTTTAATACTCTCTGTGAAGAAACAGGGAACATGTACACAGCACTTCTGCTGCAGACTGGAGATGAAGGTTGTCTCGAGGCAAAACACATGCGTATTTGAGTTGTAAGCTGAACTAGCCACCTTTTTTCATGGAACATCATTTTTACTTGAAAGAATGACTGACAGTCAAACTATGGTTATTTAGATTTAGGTATTCTCAGGCATTTTCATAAAAATAAGTGAAGTGAGCCTGTCATTTTGAGGAAAACAATGGATGATTGCTGCCACTGTTGCCAATGATAAAAGCTGAGCTTCAAGCAAAAATCAGAATTTTAGAAAACTTTTATCTGCCACCATGAGCTTGACAGCTTCCAAATACCTTTGTGATGAGATTGGTGGTGATATTGATGAATGCGGCTTTTTGATTGTGTAGTGAAATGTGGAAGATATGTGTAACCCAGCCAGTGAACCAACAATTTCCAAATGACCAATACATCGTGTTACAAAACCACGCATGGGTGAAAGATTCATTCTAAGTGCAAGCTGGATCATGGATTTTAGTGCAACAGAATAGGAAAAGTGCAGATTCCATACTGCCATTACTATGGATATGATCTGATTTTAGATTCTATACTGCTATTAATCTTTAGGAAGGCACCACTTAGTGATGGTGTACCATCAACAACAAATATCTACAATTATCTAGAAAGACTATTAAAATACTTCTCTCTTTTCCAACTAAGTATCTATGACATCTGATCTTTTTCATATACTTAAACCAAAACAACACAAACATACCGGGCTGACTATATAAAGGAGACATGAGAATCCAGCTATTTTCTATTAAGTTAGACACTAAAGAGATTCGTAAAAATATGAAACAATATTAAGCTTCTCAATA